CTCCAGGACTTCTCTGCTTCTGCTCTGCAGTGCGGTCTGCAGATCTCTGTCGTCCTCACATTCAGTAGAGCGTCATGCTCTGGCCGGTCAGTGGTCTGTGCCCAGCGCAGCTAAGGGCACGGGAACAGGGTCCATGCAGGCACACCGACATGGCTCTGTCCCCTGCAATGACCCGGTTCCTGCTTGCGTGCTCAGGTATCCCTTGGCAGGAACGAATGCTGAGCCCCACGTGGCACATTCTCTGTTGGGGTCAGCGAGCCATCGAGTGGCAGGTTGGCTCTGCTGGGTCCCTCTCATCACGAATAGGACAGCGATTTGACTCATGGGCATAGACATCCATTCTGGACGTGGGTCTTCTCCCCCGCCTCTCGGGCACCTGATAAGGCGGCCAGCCACGTGCGCACGCACCACCCAGACTCTGCAACATTGCTCTGACCAGAACTAGTCTCAGGGCGGAGAGTGGTGACACTGGACTCCGACCCCAGGAGCCCCTGGTGTATATACGTTCCATCACACAGAAGCAGCCGGTCCCACTGTGACACCCACTGCAGTGCCGGCTCAGAGATAAGACTAAAAAGGCGGCCCTGTCTCATGGAATGCAGCGTGTACTTTGACTCAGGGGTCAATCTCCAATGTGCTTCCTCTCGTAGCCACACAACGAGTGTGTCAAAGGAAAGCACCCACAGCAGGGTCTCACACTGGTCCTCCCGCAGCCCCGGCCCCGGGTCACTGGCACACATGCATGCCTGGCATGCTCACGGGGACCTGGGGACCCACCCTGACCTTCGATCTTCCTGGTGGCTTCCAGCCTTACAGAGCATTGTCCGTGGCTGGGCCACTTGGGACTTCTCGCTCCAGTAAGCTCATCGTAAGTCAGAAGGCCGGTCTGTGAGAGAGCTGGGCTGGTCGGTGCAGACTTCACAGGGTACGGAGCACTGTCTCCGCGGGGCCCTCTGAGGCATCTAGCAGGGCTCCGTGTCCAACAGGAAAGACCATGGGAAAGCACAGCCACGCTGAGCACTCCGCCCTCCCTGGAATAAATATGCATTGCAGCACCACGCAGATTTCGAGTGTCTAGCTGAGGGCGAAGGGAAGTGAAGAAGAAAGTTACAAATACCAGTTATGGCTTCGTGATGAGTTGCACATGTGTGATTGTCTATGTACACGTGTGTAGCTAATTGGCCCATCAGCTCCACCTTCGCCATCTTAGACCCCAGTTGCTGGTGGCCACCTTCAGATTTGGTCAAGACCACAGACAAGCGAGGACGGGCACGGCCACGCAGGGTCCCCACAGCTGAAGGACACCGTGTGTGTGAGGAATATATATTTTAGGCCAAAGCAAAAGGTTGCTACACTTTAGCTATGTTCAAATAGGATATAGAATGGTGTATGGGGGGCCTAGCAGAAGCCATAATGGCTACGTCACTGGACTCTCACGTAGTTGACCGTGGTTCGAGTCCCAGACCCTGTAGCTTAAAGTTCACACCAGGTGCGTGTGCGTGCATGCCCAAAATCCCCAGAGGAGAATGGAGGAGAAGGGATTACGCATGGCCATCCTCCCTGGGGGTGAGTTCTTGCTTTCTGTCTCTCTGTCTCTGTCTCTCTGGTAAGCACACACACCCTCTAGCAAAAATCTCTCTAAAGGAATAAAGAATGGTGTATGTGGACGCTGAGCAGCCACTGGGTGGGCTGTGCCGGGTGGCTCCGAACCACAGGGCCATGTGATTTCTGTTGCCAGGCATTTTGCCACCAAGACTGGCCCTGGGACCTGCCAATAGGAGCCCTCGAAGGAGACCGTACACCAGGAGGAGGGAAAAGAATGGCCCCTCGCGCCTCTCGTTTTCCCACCACAATCACCCTTGCTGTTTTTTCATGGAAGTCGGTTCTGCTCTGCGGACTTTCTGCTCACACGTCCTGCAGGCAGAGGGTACTAGCTGCTTCCTTGGGGCCATCTTGGGCAGTCTGGGACCACAGAGGCACTTCGGCGTGGTCAGGGTCGCAGTGCCGTCCACCCCTTCTGCACCTCGGAGGTCTGGGCTCCCGCTTTTCAAGCTGCTCCTCTGGCCCTGGGCTCTGGGGCCTCCTCACAGGCTCAGGCAGGGCCGCTTTCTCGGAGGTGGGTCACACTCTTCAGCCGCCTGGGCTCTGGGAAGAGACTGCATGGCCCCTGCCCTCCCTGTCCTGCCCGGCCTGAGGACAGGCCTCACTGTGGGTTTTCCCGGCCCCTCAATCCCTGATGTCGGCGAGCAATTTCACATCGACTTTTTCTCTTAAAATAACTGACGCCTTTATTTCTGACAGGATTCTGACTGAGATTTATGTTTTCTGTGTTTCTTTCTGCTTCCGTCTTCATCCTCTAAGACCGCACACCTACCTCCGCAGAGCGCGGGGTGAAGTCCAGCTGCTGCAGCACGTGGCCCGCGATGGCGCTCTGAAGACGCACCCAGGCTACCCGCCGCCTTCGCTCGGTGACACTTCATCTAGCAGCTGCTGCCGATGGCCCAGAGCCTGGTACTAGTGACACACCAATAAACAAGACAGTGCCCCTTCAGGGAGACTGCTAAACAGGAGCCTTACAGAGCTTCTCATAGGACATGGAGGGAGGCTAAGAAACGTCCACAGAGAACTATAGAGACTCCATTTCTGTCATCCAGAATGTTAGTGTTTAAGATGTTCGTCTTCATTATATTAAATAATGGAGAAGGTATATGAGGGCCCGACGGCATCGTGGTGGTGAAGGCGGCTGAATCCCTCATGACCAACCGTGCTGTTCCAGTCCTGGACCCAGTGGCTGGGAAAACACACCGGGCACATGTGCACGTGGGCCCCAAATCCCAGAAACAGGGGAGAAGAGATTGTAGCATGACCATGCCCCAGGGGGTAGGGGGTGCTTTCCATTTTCCCTCTCTCTGTCTCTCAGGTGAGCACATGTGCCCTCTGGCAAATTGAGAAGAAAGAAGGAGGAGGAGTGGGACCAGCAGTTAACGTAATGGCTATGTCGCTGGACTCCCACGTAGTCGACCGCGGTTCGTGTCCCGGACCCGGTGGCTTAAACTCACACTGGGCTTGTGTGCATGCGTGCCCGAGATCCCAAGAGGAGAATGGAGGAGAAGGGATTGCGGCGTGACCAGCCCCCCTAGGGGGTGATTTCCTGCTCTCTGTCTCTCTGTCTGTCTCTGTCTGTCTGGCGAGCGCGCGCACCCTAAAGCAAAAACCTCTCCAAAAAAAAAAAAAGGAGGAGGAGTAAGAGAAGAAAAAGAAGTTGGTATGTAAGAAAACAGGAAAAGTGCTTAGGACTTAGTAAGTACTCAAAAAAATATATATTTTTTAAAAATTAAGAAGTACAATAAATTTAGTTCCGGGATGCCATAAACAATCAAAAATGACCATGGCAGCAAGGCATTGCCTCTTCATGCTTTTATGTGTGTTGTGATCCTTACAAAGTCCCTGAGGGGTTGGGCAGGTGTCCGGATTCTCATTTGCTGATGGAATTGCACACTCGCCAGGGAAAGCGACTTCCCAGCCTCACACAGCAGTAAAGGGAGCACTGGCCTCAGCGCTGGCTGCCAACCCTGCAACGGCCCAGCCCCTTCCTCACGGCCCCCATCACCTCCCGGTTCCTCAAGCTGTAAATGAGGGGGTTGAGCATAGGAGTAAGAACCGTGTAGAACACAGAGACCACCTTGTCATGGCTCGGGGCCCGGTACCGCTTAGGCCTCAGGTAGATGAACATGGCTGCACCGTAGAAGAGGGAGACCGCTGCCAGGTGGGAGGAGCAGGTGGCCAGAGCCTTCTTCCGAGCCCGAGCAGAGTGCATGCGGAGCACAGCCCCCAGGATGCGTGCATAGGAGGCCACGACAATGGAGAAGGGGAGGAGAAGCATGAAGACACAGCAAGCAAAGAGCAGGGTATCAAAGAGGGACGTGTCTGCACAGGCCAGCTTCAGTAGAGCTGGCACCTCGCAGAAGAAGTGGTCCACCTCCCCCGAGCCGCAGTAGGGGAAGGGCATTACCACCACCATCTGAATCAGCCCGTCGGTTATCCCGAAGGCCCAGGAGCTCCCAGCGATCTGGAGACAGACCCTCCGACTCATCAGGATGGGGTAGTGAAGGGGGTGGCTGATGGCCACGTAGCGGTCGTAAGCCATGAGTCCAAGCAAGAGCCCCTCAGATCCCACGAGAGAAACGAAGAAGCCGATCC